TACCACCACAACAACCCTAAAACTTAAACCCTAAACCCTAAAACCTACACCCTAAGCCCTAAACCCTAAAACCTACACCCTAAACCCTAAACCCTAAAACCTACACCCTAAACCCTAAACCCTGCAGAACAAGCAGGGGGGAGCCGTGCCTAGCGAGAAAACGGACTGGGAAGCCGAAGATCCAGGCATGAAAGCTCCTCGCACCTAGGAAGTATTACTAGGGGTACCCCTTAAAGGGCACCCCTTCTGAACCCTACTATTGCCTCTCTTAAAAGGGACCTTATTGAGAGGGTCTATATCCCCAAGGGTCCCCCTAATCCTAGCTCCTCGCACCCCGACTTATGGTTTAGGGTTTAGGACTTTGGGCTTGGGGTTTAGGACTTAGGGCTTAGGGTTTAGGACTTAGCGCTTAGGGTTGAGGGCTTAGGGTTTAGAGTTTAGGACTTAGGGCTTAGGGTTTAGGGTTGAGGGCTTAGGGTTTAGGGTTTAGGGCTCAGGGTTTAGGGTTGAGGGCTTAGGGTTTAGGGTTTAGGACTTAGGGCTTAGGGTTTAGGGCTCAGGGCTTAGGGTTTAGGGTTTAGGACTTCAGGCTTAGGATTTAGGACTTAGGGCTTAGAGTTTAGGGCTCAGGGTTTAGGGTTTAGGGCTCAGGGTTTAGAGTTTAGGGCTCAGGTTTTGGGGTTTAGGGCTCAGGGTCTAGAGTTTAGGACTTAGGGCTTAGGGTTTAGGGCTCAGGGTTTAGGGTTTAGGGCTCAGGGTTTAGGGTTTAGGACTTAGGGCTTAGGGTTTAGGGCTTAGGGTTTAGGGTTTACGGCCTAGGGCTTAGGGTTTAGGGCTCAGGGTTTAGGGTTGAGGGCTTAGGGTTCAGTGCTTAAGGTTTAGGGCTTAGGGTATTGATCGGTAGCATGACAGAGCCGCGCACCCAACGACCCGCCCTTGGACACGATGCGTGGGGACGTGGCCGCGCAACGCGGCATTCGAAGTGATCCTCCAGGGGGTCACAGTTGAAGGCCTGTGACGAGAATGGGAACTGCCAGACCCTGCCGATAAATCTCCCTCACCAAATAAATCCCCTTACACTCTTTAAATCCTGAACCCTAGCCCCCAGAATGACCTTCTAAAGCCTTTAACCCTAAATGCAAAACCCTGAACTGAACCCTAAACCCTAAGCCTACACCCTAAATCCGCAGCCCTAAACCCCTATAGATCCCTTTAAGGAACCCTCCTAAACCCTAAGCCTACACCCGAAAATTCCTCAGCCCGAAACCCAAAACCCTATAGCCCCCTCCAAGAAACCCTTAAAGGAGTTCTAAACCCCTACTTGGAGGGTCACGGGACTTAGTAAGTAGACTTATGAGTGCCCTAAACGGGATCCTACTTGGGGTTATGATACTTATAAGTCTATAAAATACTAAGTCCCCCGAACCAAACCCCAAGCCCGAAACCCTAAACCCTAAGCCCTAAACCACCCGAAACCCCAAACCCTAAGCCCTAAACTACCCTAAACCCTAAACCCTAAAAGGAAGTCTAAACCCCAAAGCCCAAAGCCCGAAAGGTCCGGGGCTTATGACAACCAGGAGGAGATCGAGGAGCTGGAACCGACGGGAAGCCCAGGGGGTTGGGGATCTTTAGGGTTTAGGGCTTAGGGTTTAGGATAATTTAGGGCTTCCAGGGTTTAGGGTTTTTAATAGTTTAGGGCTTCTAGGGTTTATAAGGTTTAGGGTTTAGGATCTTTAGGGTTTTAATAATTTAGGGCTTCTAGGGTTTAGAAGGTTTAGGGTTTAGGATCTTTAGGGTTTTAGTAATTTAGGGCTTCTAGGGGTTAGGGCTTAGGGTTTTGGATCTTTAGGGTTTAGGGGTTTAGGGCTTCTCGGGTTTGGGGTTTTGGATCTTTTGGGTTTAGGGGTTTAGGGCTTTAGGGTTTAGGGGTGTAGGGTTTAGGGGTTTAGGGTTTTTCAGTCTGTTTTTTGTGGAGCCACCAAAACCACCAACAAACAGCTGCAAACCCGAAGGATCCTACACTCCTAAGATCCTAAACCCCAAATCCTCCCCCCCCCCCTCCTTGGGGCTTAGGGGTTTAGGGGTCAGGGGTTTAGGGTTTAGCGGTTTGGGAGTTTTTGGTTTTTTGGGTTTCAGGTTTTGGGGTTTTTGGGTTTTGGGTTTAGGGTTTGGGGCTTTGGGCTTAGAGTTTAGAGCTTAGGGTTTAGGGTTCAGGGTGAGCTTAGGGAGTTAAATGAAACCCTAAACCCTAAACCCTGGACAGAGTTAGGGGACCAGAAGAATTTTTTGTGGCTGAAGGAGTTCCTGAAGGACGAAAAGAGCCCTAAAAGGGCGTTTAAGTTTCATATACCATATAGGGATTCATAGTGTAAGGGTATAGGGCCCGTACCTTTGAGGTCCTTTTCGTCCTTTAGGTAATGGGTTCAGGAGGTTAGGATCTTAGGAGCTGGACCGCCGGGAGGGCAAGGGGATCAGAAGGATGATGTTGTAGCAAACGTCCTCGTCCCAAATTTCAAAAGCTGTTCAAGTTCACTCCCGCGATTTATCGTACACACGGGGCCTTAGTGTTTCAGGGTTTATATGGGAGTTTCCGAAAATTCGGGGTACTTCATTTTGGGGTCCGTATAATAAGGATCCTACTAATTGGGGNNTTGGGGTACTATTTTAGGGTCCCCTAGATTCGGGAACCCCATATGACAAGTCAAAACCGAAACGCTTAGACACGGAAGCTCTTCTTCAGACGGGGAACTGGTACAGGGCGGTCCGTCTATGGGGAGCCAGCGAGTGCTCTGGGTCTCAATACTCCTTTCATAGCCTGAAAACTTTTGCTGCGCAGCCGTGAAAAGTATTCCTATGCACTCGCCTCCCCTTCACATTCTTTCTTCGAAAAATGTTGAGCCACCTGGGATGTCGCTTATTGGGGACGCGGGCAAGAGTAGAAATCATGTCTTCTTGGGCAGAGCTCTGAAACTACATGCTTACGTACACAGGCAGCTCCGTTGATTGCTGCTTGAGAGCATCGGGGGACTCCTTCCAGAATCGATTTGATGATGCGAAAACTCACCCAGTCTTTATACCAAAAAATAAATGCCACAGAATCTGTAGAAGCTTCATACCTTAAGATCCCGAAGCCCGAAGGAAGTGCCCCTGACAGCAAGCCTTACAGCACCCCTTAGTACCCCTTAAAGGAGGCATTCCTAAAGTTGATACCCTAAACCCTACCCCCTCCCCTTAAAGGAGGCATTCTTCTTCAATTACTAAACCTTAAACCCTACACCCTAC